CAGACAGGGTCTCACTAAGTTGTTTAGGACCTTCTAAATGGTTTTGAATTTATAATCCTTCTGAAGCAGGATTATGTGTGTGCACCATGCCTGGCTACAGTATCACTGTCTTACGTATCCTACTACAGTACAACTATGCATATTCAAACAAATATATTCCTTTTAAAAATATCCACAGGGTAAGATATTATATGCAGTATGTTGTATCTTTTGCACATCATTTTATTGCACACCAGTGATTTGGGCAAGGTTATTAAAATATGTTTCTTCATTTCACTATAGTCTTTCATCATCCAAATTAATAATAATCTGCCATTACCTCTGAAAGGTGAAGAAGATACTATACTACTGAAATAATCTTTTCCTTAAAACCTAGAAAAAGAAAATGCTAATTCCACCAGGAATGGTGATTAGAAAACTTTCTATTTTATCATCCGTAAAGTTTTGAAACATGCCAATGGAATTTAATAACTGATTTTTAGGTTAAAAGACACTGGTGGAAATCCAAACCCTGAACCATCAACCACTTGGAGTTCCGCTTCGCACTATTAAAACCTTAACTTTACACATACATTATGCTCATGAGCTGCACCATTACAAGTTTAACATGACAGGGCTGTAGGTCTCAGAAGTTATTCAAACAGTGGCAGACATCCTTAAACCTCTGTGTTGCCAGAATATTAGGCTTCCAAAGACCATTTACTAAGTTACTGCCACCCAGGAGTTACCAGTGTTCTCTGGTCCTTGTCTCCAGTCAGCCATCAGGACCACCCACTAGAACCAATATTATTCTTTTCTGCCTCAGCCTTTTCTATTCCAGGCAAAATGGTTTTTAACCTCTCCTGGCAGATTTTGCTTTTTCAGCCTAATCATCTTTATGGGTGGTGTGGAAATTAATTTCCCACCGCTAGGCTGTATTTGTGGAGACCTCCTAGTTAGAAAACTATGGTTTAAGTCCTCACATTTTCTTCTACTAACCAACTTGAAAGAGAGCAAGTCAATTAATTTTTCTGAGAGTCTTGCTTTCATCAATTATAGTAAGAATGATAAATAAGGCGATACTTTAATCCCTAAAGATGTTTAATTACAGGAGAAAAACATTTTTCTCCACCGTTCTTTTAGGAAAAAGAAGATAAACTGCAAGAATATAAGCTGACCTTAAGAAGTGTTTATGAGGGGCTGGGGCTGGGGCTGAGTGGTAGAGCACTTGCGTGGCACGTGTGAGGCTCTGGGTTCGATTATCAGCACCAAATGTAAATAAATAAAAATAAAGGTCTGTCAACGACTAAAAAAAAATTAATAAAAGAGAAGTGTTTTTGAGGGGCTAGGGATGGGGCTCAGTGGCGGAATGCTTGCCAAGTATGTACAAGGCTCTCAGTACAATCCCCAGCACCACCAAAAAAAAAAAAAAAAAAAAAGAAAAAAGTTTATGGATAAAATAGCAAGAAAGAAAGAAATGAAGAAAACATATACATACAAAGTACCAAAAGGCATGCAAACCTCAAACCTCCCTACAGTGCATACTCTGGAGACAGATTCCAGCCCAATCTCCTAGATGATAGCTCTCTACAAGAACTGATGTTTCACATTACTGCTGTAAGGAACTATAAGATCTAAATCATTGATGAAAATTTAACTGTTTTCTCTATGCTCTAGTCATAATGCAGAGAAAGTGCCCTGAAACACTTAAGAGAACTAAAAGGATGTTCTTGCTAGCCAGATAATTCAATTAACTGGAACCAGCACTGTGGTAGAGCTTTTAGCATTGAAGAAGTACTTTAGAGCTATTATTTACTGTAGGCATACACATACCAAGAACCACACTAAGTGCTTTACAAGCATTTTTCTATTTAATTCTCACAACAATTTCTATGAGAAAACTGGGCCTTAAGAGAGACTGGCAAGTGATGGAGCAGAAATGTAAATGAGGTCTGACTACAAAGCCTATGCTCACAGTCACTGACCAAAAAAAAAAAAAAAAAATTAATAAAAAAACAATTTCAGCAACAAATTACTTGGCTCCTCTGTTAACAGTTATTGTTCACAGACACAGATAAGCTCCAAGAAGAGAATCAAACATTTTTTCAAGTAACAATAATATAAATTAGAAAAACCAAACAAGTTAAAAACTTCCAAAATAATTGTTTTACTAATTATCAAATAGTTATTCTTCAAATACATTAATTTAAGTCATGGTAGCTGGTTCCAGAAAGACTGACCATGCTCTGACTTAGTAAGCTCCCTTATTCCTTCATGCATTTGCAGATAGTGCTCCTCCTGTCTGGAAAGCTTTCCCCAGTCTGTCCAACTGGCAAACCCAAACTCTTCCTTTAAATCCCTGCAAGTGTATTCTCCATTGAATCTTCCAAGCAAAAGCCAACTTAAATGTTCCTCCTTCCTTTACACTGTTTCAGTCCCCTTTGAACCCACCATTATATATGCAGGCTGCTAAAGGACACAATTATCTGTTTACACACTAATTTTTCCCACAAGAATGATACTCAAGGACAGAAGCCCTGCATTTTTAACCTATGTATTTCCAGTTCCTAATGCAGAATCCAGCACAACACAGTTGGGGCTCATTACTTTATTACTTATTTAACTAATTTATATAAACCAACAAATTATAAATATTTAAAATATTTGCACCATTAATATGTATCATAACTTTATCCCACAAACTATCCTACAATTCTAGTTCTCAGGCAGGATAGGACTTTTCTGAAGATGTTCATTTAACAACAACTAAACACAATGTAAAAACACTGTGGTGAATAAATGTGAGGAACACAAAAATTAGGGGCTCTATCGGATCTCAATTAAGTGGAGGTCAGATATATTTATAATTGTTTCAACATACTATCCATAAGAATACTAACAGAAATAAGTAGTGCTATGTTTTCCACTAACTACAAACTGGAAGATGAATAAGAACAGTCATATATAACATTTAAGCTGTGCTTTGATAAATGGTAGACAAGTATATTCTATATCTAGTTGCAAATAGCATAAGCAAAAAGGGTAAGTGTAAGACAACAAATACATATCATACATTAAAAACTTAATTTTACAAATAAAAAATAAAAAAGGTAGCATGGAAGTTTGTAAAATCTTAAGAGAAAACAAGTATGTCACATATATCCTTCCTGTTTTCTTTTCCGAGCTAAAAAAAAGGTATTCTTGGGAACATCCCTAGTTGTTATCAGTTCATTAGACAAATAAATTCACTTACAAAGGACTATCAATCGTTAAAAGATGCTGAATCTATTTCATACACTAACCACTGAATAGGTTTTATTTTTAAATTTATTCTAAGCGGATATATTATAACACCACACAAAAGGACATAGTAACAATAACAGCTGCTGACATCTAGTCAGTGCCACATGCTCTACAAGTGCTTTCCCATATTAAAGATATTTAATCTTCACAATAACCCTAGAAGAGAGGCTCATTATAACCCTGTTTTATATATGAGTAACATAGTCACAGAAAGGTGAAGTTATTAGTCCAATGTGACAAAGTAAGTGGTACAACTAGATTCAGAACTCAGTTTGGCTCTAGTCTAGGCTCTTAACACTATCTTTGTAAACATGCATATATGTGTGCATGCGCACATACACACTTTTACATTAAATGATATTGTATATATAATTTGGCGCTTTGAAAAAAACCCTATAAATTTTCTGTATTATGTAACACTGATTTTAAAACTTTAAAAACTGTGGTAAAAATGCATAACATAAAATTTACCATCTTAACCATTTTTGAGCACTCAGTTCAGTAGTGACACTGTAGTATGTTTCATCTCTAGAACAGATTGATCTTACAAAACTGAAACTCTATACCCATTTAATAGTCATTCCCCATTTCTCCTGGTAACCACCATTTACCTTCTGTAATTATAAATTTGATTCCCTTAGGTACAAAACATTTGTTTTTCATGGCTGGAAATTATTCTATTTAGTTGATATACTATAATTAAATTTTAATAAAGAGATTACCATATTTGATAAAATGAATGCTTTAATAGACCTCATTAAAAATGAACACAYGCTGGGCTGGGGCACTGGGTTTGATCCTCAGCACCACAAAATAAACAAATAAAATAAAGGTATTACAAAGGTATTGTGTCCATGCTAACTCTATTTCTTCTTGTAGGAAATGTTCATGTTGATACTAAGTTTATAAACTGGAAAAATGACAGATATTAACCTCCGAGAACATTTTTAAAACACACTAGTTCTTATTTTTATTTTGTTCAAATATATTTTTAAAGAATTTTTAGTATTCAACCATTTATGTATTCTTTTAATTCTTATAATTGAGATCTGCTTAAAGCAGGCTCCAATTTTATATAGGAAAAAAAATATATGTCCATGCCAACAAAGACACTAAACTTTAAAACTGCATAACACACTTTCCTGTATTTTATTCTGTAATAAAAAATGTTGAGAAGTAGTTTCTTAATTCTATTCTTTGAGTAGTTTGAAAATTATTAAATTTGCTGGGCGTGGTGGCACATACCTATAATCCCAATAACTTCGGAGGTAGAGACAAGAGAATTACAAGTTCAAGGCCAGCCTCAGCAACTTATTGAGGCCCTAGGCAACATAGTGAGACCATGTCTCAATATAAAAAATAAAAGGGCTGGGGAATATAGCTCCATGATAAACTGCTGTAGGGTTAAATCCCCAGGAACCCCAAAATAATAATGTTCTATGTTAACATTGGTAATTTTTACAAATAATCTCAAAAATATTTAGATTGATGAATTAAGAGGAAAATATACCTTTTTGTAATAAATAATTTTTATGAAAAACAATAAATGAGGAATTCACATACAACCTTAAAATCAGAATACGTTTCTTTATAGCAATTTCATTTAACAAATAGAATAAGCAAGTACAATTTTTAAAATGAAAGTCAAAATTAAAGCATTAAAAAATATTATACACATATATCACAAACAGCCTGAGAGTTTTGGGGAAAGTACTAACCAGTTACTGCCAGCAGCTGTGAAACTCTCACCTCCATTTCCTCCCGATGTGACCTGTCTCTATCTTCAAATTCACGTGTCCTTCTCCGAGCCTCTTCAAAGGCCTGTTGTGCTAATGCATCCTCCTGCTGTCAGAATATATGTGAAATAACTATTTTAATTTATAATAAATTTTTAAAATTTGGGGATGTTTTATTTTTTGAAGGAAACTTCTCAAGATATCAACACCAAAATAAATAAATAAATAAATTTTGGGGGTACTTTTAAGAGAAAAATTCAGTATAGTATATTTTCATGTTTTGTAATACATTCTGGAAATAGTAGTCATGTTTAATTATATTCAAACAATTGAAAACCCCCTTCCCTTTTTTTCCCTTCATTTTTCTTACTCATCAAAATGAAATTCCTCTCAATATTTAAATCATAGAAGTACAAGGAAAAAAAAGAGATAAATATTTCTCATTTGAAATAAGGCCCTAACTATGACACAAAAGCCAGAAAAAAATATATATGTATATATAAAATCTGACTATAAAATGCCAGAAACTTCCAGAAAACAAAAACCAAATATATTTCTAAGGAAAATTATCAATAAAAAATAACATATAATATAGCATCCTAATTTTTTCCCAGTGATTAAAGATCGACGCATGAAAAAATCCAGATATTTCAAACTCATTTTGTCATAAAAAGGCACTTTATAAACTTTCTCCTTTATTCTTCTTTAGTCTCAGCTGGTAGCACCATTCATTCAATTCAACTAGGAATCTGAGCCATCTTTAATTCTTCACCCTCTTCTAGTTTCCACAGAGACAATTAACCATCACCATTGAGTCCTACATTTTTGGAATCTTTAATTTCCTTTCTATTATTAAAAGAATTTTAAAAAAAATGTTGATGGACCTTTATTTTATTCATTTATTTATTTGCAGTGCTGAGAATCAAACCCAGTGCCTCACACAAGTGCTCTACCACTGAGCCACAACTCCAGCCTGAGTCTCCTTTCTATTCTTACAAACATTTCCCTAGTTTGGGAAACTAAAAGCCCTTAGCTGGAGTACTGCAAAGGTATTCTAAATGATCTATTCTGTTTCTATTCTGTTACTCCAACCACTCACCACAGACACCAGTGCACGTCTTCTAAGGCACAACCTGACCACACAATACCTTCTAACTTAAACAAACAAACAAAATCCCTCACTGTACATACAGCACAGGATTTTCAACCTTGTAGTCATATACTTTTGAAGATGTGTTAGGATTTTCAATGGTAAACCTGAAGAAACTAAAAGAACCAAAACAACATCAAAAGCCATCAATATTGACTTTCCTAGAATCTTTGCGACGAGGGGTGGCCATGTATTTTGTTTCTAGTCAATGAGATCATAAGCACAAGTCACCTAATGTGGCTTCCAAGCAAGTTATTTAGGAGACATTTCACCATCCCTACTTGGGAATTGATATAATTCTCACAGATGCAGCAGCTACCTGTGCAAACATAATAAAGAGGATGTAGTCACTTGGACTCTGGGGCCTCTGATAGTATAAGTGCCATACCAAACCTGGACTGAGCCCTTCTGGATACTTTACTCTACATCCTTTGTCATTGTTAGCAGGGTTTAAAAAAAAAAACTTATAATTTTCAATGACACAATGTCTACCTATTAACTTAAACAGAATTGAAGAAATGTGATCAAATTCCCATTCTTGGAACTGAGAATACAGCTCAGTGGTAGAGCACCTGCCTAGCATGCAAGAAGCCCTGGGTTATATCTCCAGGACTGAATAAAAAATGTTATGATGCTCTTACTATCTTTAGGACCCAGGACAAGGTATTTTCTACCGTAAATTCATATGTAAAGTGAGCAGAGAAATATTGTACAACAATGTTTTTGTAAAGAATAGATAACACATAAGTGCCTAAGCAATTATCTGACAGCACTGTGTTAGAATTATTTTACAAACATTAATGTATGTAAAATTCACACATTTTATTAAACATTACACATACCTATTGTACGCTCAGAATGTACTATACAAGCCTTGCAAAAGAATGCTGTCCCAGTTCCCTGAAGGCTTTTTATTATTTAGTTAGGCATCAACTGAACATATTTGCTGATGATCCTTCTGTTCTGTGCATTTACTTGTTCATTTTTTCATTTATTCTACAAATATTTTTTGAGCCTTTATTATGCCCAACTCACTATGCTTGGTGCTATAGATATAATGTAAGAGAACAAGCTCTTCATGGAGCTTCTGATCCAGTGGGGCAGGTGGAAAATAAAATTAAATTAGCAATTCAATATAAAATTATCAACTGCAATTAAGTGCAGTAGAGGAAAATTAGAGGATAAAATGAGTATGTAACATGATATGTGATTTGAGTCCTTAAAAAAGTTATTAGCCATTAATATGTATTCTAGCAATGGTCATAGATTTTTTTTGTTGTTGTTGTTAAAAGAAGAAAAAGTATTACTAATTTTTGCAGTAAAAAAGCCAKCTAAGGAAGGATAGTAGAATGAATTGGACATCATTACCCTATGTGCACATATGATTACATGACTTGAGTAACTCTATATCATGTACAACCAGAAAACGAGAAATTTTACTCCATTTATGTATGAAGTGTCAAAATGCATTCTACTGTCAAGTATAACTAATTAGAACAACAACAACAACAAACATAAGCTAGGAGAGATTTAGTAGCCCTCTATTTTCTAGTTCTAACCTGTTTTGGTCTGATTAGTGACAAGTGAGATGTATGTGCAATGAACAGAATCCACATTTTAACAAATGGTAAAATCAGAAAGATTGGCAATTACTAGTGTCATCCTGATCTTGTACAAGAAACAACTCCCTTTCAAGGATAGCCCTTGGTGATAAAACTACCTGCTCCCTTATGAAGTAAACTAATGGCTAGGAACAACTAACTTTATCTAGCTTCAGGTGATGCTGGGAGGGGTTTCCAGGTATTCAAGTCCCCACTAGCTTCCTATTTTAAAGCCAGTTATTCCATGATTTATACCACAACCAGCACAGAGTAGCCAGGTGGAGTAAACATAAAATAAAGTTGGGTGTCTGGAAAATTCATATGGGAAGTAAAAATTCAGCCTTTCTGTTATAGAGCACATATAGAATATTCTGACCACTTTTGCTGCAGTGATTTTACCTTTATTGTATTATCTAAATCTACAAATGTATTTATTTACAATTTGGTAACACTTTTCTGCAGCAAAGAACTTAAAAAATGGAATTTCACATTTAATGAAAAATTAATCACATTTGTTTCCAAGAAAGTTGATAAACCTATATATATGTGCTATGCTGTGGGGGACAGAATGATATCACTTCTCAGATGAAAACTAGAAGAAAAAAAATCTGCTGAAGAAGCATCAGTATCTACTTTAAAGGCAACAATTTAACATATGCAGCTGCAAATGGTACATTTAATCAATCACTCTGCAGAACATAACTTCATTTAAATCAAATGACTCTTCCAAGTTAATTTTATCCACATTCTTGTACACATACAAAAAAAGCAAAGCTGTTCATATGTTGGCTTAATAGGAAAATCTTACAGCTCAAGGACACCAGTTTTGCATTAGTGTCATCAGGTGTTTGAAACAGAAAGTCTGTTAATTCCAATAATGGATTTATTTTTCTAACCTAATCATGGGGAGAAAACAAAAAATTTTTCAAAGTTTGTGATTATGAAAGTAAAACCTTTTAAAAAGTATAATAATGAAGGTGAGAGTATTGGCTCCTATGTTGATAATATAAATATGAAGGTTGGTAGACCTAAAGGAAAATAACATTTTCAGTGAATTAAAAAAAACCACAAAATAGAAATTTACTAGGAACTTGTTTTGTTACACATGTAATTCATCACTGCATTCAAAGAAATGAGACACTCTGCTGACATTTGTACTTTATAGTTTTAGAATTTACAAATATCTATACACACTCATTATAAAAGTAACTGAACTACGGAAGTGTTGTAACAAAGCTGATGCTAAAGAACAAAAACAACAAAGACCTCATTATGAGCACTGGGGATGTAAACTCATGTGCAAGGCCCTGGATTAGATCCCTGGCATTAAAAAAAAAAAACAAAACTTACATGACAGTACACATTATCTTTAGATTTTTAGAAAATTTGAGTTTTTTTTTTTTTATTAGCGACACATGACATTACAATGATCTTGGCAATTCATACATTTGAATCAATTGGGGTATAATTTCTCATTTTTCTGATTGTACAGATTGCAGAATCACACTGGTCATAGAGTCACCTATATACATACAGCAATCATAATGTCTATTCTATTCTGGAAAATTTGAGTCTTTAAAGAACCACTTTGAAACCAATGTAGTTTCTACAATGACAATGATTTTTTATTTTTTTCTTGGGGGGGGGGATGTGTGGAGGAATATTTACTGGTGATGTACAAAAATTTTCTGTTTTTTACATTTTTAGAGAACTGCATTATTGGAAACCAAGCATGTAAATAAAAAACATACTGACATTTATATCTACAAAATAATTAAAATTAAAATAACTAAAATACCAAAATGCAATCATTAAACAGTTTTGAGTTTCTATACTTATATTCAGAAGCATCTTAATTTGTGAGAGAACTTTCTGACAAAGGACCTATTCAAAATATGTAAGGAACTACATTTTAGTGAGAAAATACTTTCATTGTAGAAAACAACCCAATATAAAAATAGACAAAAGGCTGGCACAATGGTAAATGCCTGTAATCCCAGCCACTTGGGAGACTAAAGCAGGAGTATCACAATTTCATGGCCAGCCTGGGTAACTTAGCAAGATCTCATCTCAAAATAAAATAAAAGGGGGGGGGGCAGGGTTTGTAGCTAGTAGTAAAATGCCCCTAGGTTTAATCCTCAATACTACAACAATAACAACAAACCAAAAGAGACAAAAGACTTTTAGCCAGTACTTTACAAATAAGGCTATACAAATGAAGGATACTCAACTTTATTAAATCGTCAGAGAAATGATTATTGAAACCATAAGAAGATACTAGCATACATCCATCAGAATGATTAAAATGAAAAGGACCGATAATACCAAACGCTGGTAAGGATGTAGAGCAGTAAAAGA